CTCGCCACTGCATTTCCCCGTAGCAATCGTTCCACCTCAGTATACAGCTCTTAATAAAACAGTCCTAGCACACGCGCTGCTGCCTCCCCTGCGTCACCATGGAACACGCTCCTGTTGTGGGCCCTTTGGCCCGATGGTCTCTGTCACTTTCTGCTTCTCTGACTTTACCCATCAGTAGTGTCAGTGCATGCTCTGTAGGAGGACGTGGCAAGGAGACAGAAGGTACCAAGGAGAAAAGGTATTCTCCAAGGAGGGGGTGGGTTCCGCAAACGGCCTCAGCAAATTATGTGATCTGATGTTCTCCACACAATTTAAGTCTGGTTGTTCTAAAAACCTGCTGTTACCTGGGGAAAAGGGAGCCTCCATCCACAGCGCAGCATCCTAAGGGTGCTAGCGGGCCCCGGTCTGACAAACCGCCCCTGTTTCCAGAGAGGGGTCCGGGCTGCTGCTCTCGGAGCTCCTGCCCGTCCCTTCTTCACACATTTCCTAGGATCAGGCTGTGGAGAGCTGCCGTCCCGCTGACACCTGTGTGTAGCATCGTCACTAAGGACTGGATGGCATTTTTTGCCCCCCACAAAGACATGTATCACCCACAAGGAACCTGCAGCGATTCTTAAAATAATACGCTTTAATTTGTTTTGGCCTGAACCATTTCACACAGAATTTTACACAGAATTTTCAGAGTTGGAAGGGACCTCTAGAGATCATCCAGTCCCACTCCCCTGCTAAAGCAGGACTGCCCAGAGCACATTACCAGGACTGCATCCAGGTGGGTCTTGAAAATCTCCAGAGAAGGGGACTCCCCCACCCCCCTGGGCAGCCTGTGCCACTGCTCCGTCACCCCAACTGTAAAGAAGTTTTTCCATGTGTTGGAACGGAACTTCCTCTGTTCCAACTTGTGCCCATTGCCCCTCGTCCTGTCAGTGGGAACCACCGAGAAGAGTCTGGCTCCAGCCCCACCCTTTAGATATTTGTAAGCAACAAAGTCCCTCCAACCCACCCTTTAGATATTTGTAAGCAACAAAGTCCCTCCAACCCACCCTTTAGATATTTGTAAGCAATAATAAGGTCTCCCCTCGGCCTTCTCTTCTCCAGGCTAAAGAGTCCCAGCGCTCTCAGCCTTTCAAACTTTGGAGAATTGCTGGCCTATCCCTTCCTGCTCCACCCGCCCGAATGAAAAAATGAATTATTTAAAGATGTAGATATTTCTTTTTCTTCGTATCCCCGGGTATTTGTGGAGACAGGGTCATCTGGACTGGGGGTGTTGATTGATGAGAAGCTCAATGTGAGCCGGCAATGTGCGCTGCCAGCCCAGAAAGCCACCCCCATCCCGGGCTGCATCCCCAGCAGCGTGGCCAGCAGGGCGAGGGGGGACTGTGCCCCTCCGCTGCGCTCTGCTCTGGGGAGACCCCCCTGCAGTGCTGCCTCCAGCTCGGGGGGTCCCACCAGCAGAAGGACACGGAGCTGTTGGAGCGGGGCCAGAGGAGGGCACGGAGATGCTGGGAGGGCTGGAGCCCCTCGGCTGGGAGGACAGGCGGGGAGAGGTGGGGGGGGTCAGCCTGGAGAAGAGAAGGCGAAAAAGGGGAGAGCTCAGAGCCCCTTCCAGTGCCTAAAGGGGCTCCAGGAGAGCTGGGGGGGACTCTGGATCAGGGAGGGGAGCAACAGGACAAGGGGTGACAGTTCTAAACTGAAAGAGGGGAGATTCAGATTAGACATAAGGAAGAAATTCTTTATTGTGAGCCCCTGGCGCAGGGTGCCCCGAGAAGCTGGGGCTGCCCCAGCCCTGAAGATGTTCAAGGCCAGGTTGGACGGGGGGGCTTGGAGCAACCTGGGCTGGTGCGAGGTGTCCCTGCCCATGGCAGGGGGGGTGAAACTAGATGATCCCTTCCCACCTAAAAC